GCGAGCGATGCTGCCTGTATACGGACCATAAGAGTTTAAAGTATGTGATGACTTAGAAAGAATTGAATTTAAGACAGTGAAGATGGGTGGAATTTTTAAAAGATTATGATGTAGTGATCGATTTTCATCCAGGGAAAGCGAATGTGGTAGCGGATGCCTTAAGTTGAAAGACGTTTGCAGTATTACGAGCTTTGGATGCCAGACTATCACTAAGAGGAGACGGTGCCATATGTGCGGAATTGACTCTCAAGCCATCATGGCTAGATCGAATTAAAGAATTGCAAGCTAAAGATGAAAAGTGTTCAAAGAAACTACAACAGATAAAGAATGGAGAGGGAGGCTAGCAATTCCAGATGATGATGAATTAAAGAAAGACTTGTTAACGGAAGCTCATTGCAGTCCATTGACTATGCATCCGGGAGGAAACAAAATGTATATGGATCTCAAGAGTCGATATTGATGGTATGGAATGAAGAGAGATATTACGGAATTTGTATCCAAATGTTTGACGTGTCAGCAAGTTAAAGCTTAACATCAAGTTCCGTCAGAACTGTTGTAACCTATGTCTATTCCTTAGTGGAAATGGGAGAATGTAATAATGGATTTCATAACGGGGTTGCCTTTGACTCCGAATAAAAGAGATTCGATATGGGTTATTGTAGACAGATTGACTAAGTCAGCTCATTTTATTCCAGTACGAGTTGACTTTTTTATGGATAAGTATGCCGAGTTATATATCAGAGAGATTATACGTTTATATGGTGTACCTGTTTCCGTTGTTTTGGATCGAGAATCTAGGTTTACATCACGGTTTTGAAGTCATTACATAAAGCGTTAGGAACTCGGTTGAACTTTAGTACAATATTTTATCCACAAACCGATGGACAATCCGAAAGAACAATCCAAATTTTGGAGGATATGTTAAAGAGCTTGTGTTATCGGTTTCAAAGGATTGTGGGAGAGGTATTTGCCACTTGCTGAATTTGCGTACAACAATAGTTATCAATCAAGCATCAAAATGGCTCCTTATAAAGCTCTTTATGGAAGAAGATGTCGTACGCCTCTAAATTGGTTCGAGCTTAAAGACAAAGGAATTATTGGTCTGGAGTTAATCAAAGAAGTGGAAGAAAAGGTTCAAGTAATTCAAAGTAACCTCAAAGCAACAACTGATAGACAGAAATCGTACGCAGATTTAAAGAGAAAAGAGATAGAATATCAAATTGGAGATAAAGTGTTTCTTAAAGTGTCTCATTGGAAGAAGATTTTGAGGTTTGGTCGAAGAGGAAAGTTGAGTCTGCGGTTCATTGGACCTTATGAGATTGTAAAGAGAGTGGGACCAGTGGCATATCAATTGGCATTGCCACCTGAAATGGAAAAGATTCATGATGTCTTCCATGTCTCAATGCTTCGGAAGTATCGATCTGACCCCTCCCACATTGTGACTCCAGAAGAGGTTAAGGTTCAACTGGATTTGACTTATGAAGAGGAACCGTTTAAAATCTTAGCTCATGAGATTAAGCAACTAAGAAACAAGACTATTCCACTAGTTAAAGTATTATGTAGAAATCACAAAGTAGAAGAAGCAATATGAGAGCGTGAAGAAGATATGAGGATTCAATACCCCCATATCTTCGTGAAAAGAAAATTTGAGGACGGATTTTCTTTAGGGGGAGATTTTTAATAGCCTCAATAACGGGTTAGTGACTATATTGTAAAATTTCAGAACTTGGTGATTAAAGTAGAATAATTGAATAGTAATGTAATTTGATATAGGGTTAATTTGCAAGGAAGAAGGAATAGAAGGATAGAATGGTCTTTTGGCAAGGAAAATAATTAAGAAGGGATTTTATATATATATATATTAGCTCCACGTGGAAGAGAAGAAAGAAAAACAAAGGTTCTAGAGTTCTTTTCTTCTCTTCTTTTCTCCCAAACGTGAGACTTATAGCATAGGTGAGATTCTTCATAAGCTAATTGTTTGCTGAAATTTAAGTTAGGTTTTGCTCCTTAGATGCTAATTAAGCTTAAGGAAAGCTTAGTTTGTTGTAAAACAACAAAATGAAGAGTGTAGAAGGATTTAAAGATCTGGAGTTTTTGAATGAAATTTCGAAATAGAGTCTATAATTGGAATAAGAAGTTGAATTTGACTTGTCATCTACCTAATTAAGGAAGATGAATAATTAAAATTAGATTTTGAACATGTTGGAATTTGGGTGAAATTCTTGAATTCTATGTGGAAGATTGGATTTTAAGTTTAAAGAAGTGGTTATTGAATAGTAATGAGTGTAAGCATATGTATGCGAGTTAGAAATCTTAAAGAAAGTGAAATAAGAAGAGTTGTGTTGGAAAGGGGTGAATTTCGTGTTGAAAATGGCAATTCTGGGTTGAGTGCATCGATGCACCTTCAAGGTGTATTGATGCACTCTCAAATAAATGAACATCGAATGCCATTGATGCATCGATGTGTAAGGAGTGCATCGATGCACCTGTTTAAAATACAAACATCGAATGGGATTTATGCACCGATGCATAGGTAGTGCATCGATTCACCTGTCAATGGATGCATCGATACATGGTATAGTGCATCGATGCATACGTTCATTAAAAGTTAGAAATTAACTTTGTTTTTAGCCTAAGGAGTGATAGTTTAGAATATATTAATTAATATACTAATTAGTATCAATGTATTACTATGTAGATATAGAACATAATTTCGTTCCGGAACAAACAACGGATTAGGATCAAGTCGAAACAAGCAAGGCCAAGGTGAGTGCATTTTCTAGTTAAAGTGTATAGAGATAAGACTTGTGATAAGTCTATCTCTGATAGTTGAATTCATGATTTAATATTCATGTACATGCATACATGTATTATTTTTTAGTGATTTCATGTATAATTCATTATGCTTCAATATGATATTATGGGAACGAATGCCATTACAAGAGAAACAATCCATGTATGTGGATTAATGGAAATGATTATATTTGTTTATATGAAAAGTGATGAAAGAGATATGAAATGAGAAATGTATTCATATTTAAGCCCATGTTATATGATACGAGAGCTATAGGTATAATTGGCATGGCAAGAGTCGAGGGATTATCAGTGGTCCTTCAGGACATAATGGTTCTTCGGAACAATCAGTGGTCCTTCGGGACATAGTGGTCCTTCGGGACAAATATTCAGTGCCCCTTGAGGGAATTATACGAGCTGTGGTGACAACATAGTGCACAACCTCTATGTACTCGCATACCTTTGTTCTCAATAATGTACATGGATAATTCAAAGATAAATTAAAGTGAAATTGGAATGAGATGTATGTGTTATATGTACATGTTATCATCATATATGTTATCGTGTAATCGATACATGAACATTGGAATGTCCTGATTAATGGTAAGAATGCATGTTCATAAATTCATGATTATACATGTGAATACATACATTTATATCATACCTCACTAAGTCTGTGACTTAGTGTGTAAGTGATTTACATGTAGGTACCAAGAATCAGGAAGAACGGAAATAGGGTGGCAAGAACAGCAACACTGCTAGCGGATCAGATCAGAAGTAACTGATAAAGTATGTATTTTGTCGTGTATAGTATGTTGTCATGTAAGTAAAGTGTAAGTTATGAATGCTCTGATCGATTTTGGTTATTTTGGTCAATTTATGTAAATAAACCGCTTTTATTTTAATGAAAGTTTTAAATTTCTCTGTTTTCTTTAAGTATCAAAGTTTGAAAAGTCAATGTGACACCTCAGACTCGTATTCGGGTCGGATACTGGTTGGGGGTGTTACACAACAAAAGACAGTTGGCTTAACCGCCTGACAATTTACCAGAAACAGTTAGCAAAACCAACAGCTAACGGCTCCAGCTGGCAACCCTTCCAGTTGGCAATGCTCAATTCTTAATACAGATTGTTGTTAATTATCGATTCTATTAGCCACCCATCTTTATCTAAATAAATGTTTTGCATGTGCTTGAAATCCAAGGTCTACGATGATTTTGATTTGTACATTTCATTCATTTGATTGATAATATTAGGGTAATAATATCCATTTTATTAAAATGTAATCCAAATAATATTACTGATTAAACTGGTACCTTTTTGACAAAAACACGTTCACTGAAAGGCACATATTAAAGGGTTCGTCTTTACCTACGTAGTAGAAAAATAAAAATTAACTGACTCTATTCTCATATGTAATGGGGTAAAGGGAGGTAGGATAGTAGGCTGCTCACAACGCCAGGTTGAGAGTAACTTCCGTGGGAGACCTCCAACAGTTAAAATTATGAATTGCCCACCGTGTGACTCGATCCCACGACCACAAGGTTAAGAGCCCTGCGCTCTACCAACTGAGTTGGACGGGCACATAGCATGCGACATAACCAATAATTAGTTGTTCTGGTTCGGAGTGACAGTTGGAATCAGAGCTGGTTCGGTGGCTTTTGTGGAGTTCTAAAATGAAGTCCTTTGGGTGTGTCATCTATCATACCATAATACCGTTTGTGATTTAACACTCAAGTGACCAGAACGAAAGCAATGTCAAAGTTGACTGAAAACTAAAAAATTTTAAAGTTCAATGACCAAAGCTAGAATGAAATGAAAATTGAGGGATGGGATTTGTAATTTACCCACAAACAAATACCAGAAATACAAAGAAGAACGGGCTAAAAGGAGACCAACAGCATGCCCATCATGTGCAATGAAGTGAAAACAATTGCCTCAATCTGATAAAGCAGGCCTGCATTACCATGGCTGTCAAACCTAATGAGCAAGATCAAAGATATCAAAGTCGGCCGAGGTTTCGTCGAGTTTGTCCAGTTAAAAGGACTGTTTATTAGCCTCTGCATTTTCACTGTATAGTTGCACTTGCTTTCCCTTAAGTTTTATCTCACATTGCCACCAGTATTGAACATTAGAAAAGGCTATAAGATGGGCGAAAATGTAACAATAGAAGGATGATATACAAAGTTTACATAAAACTGATTTGACATACTGTGTTTCAATATCCGAGGTCCTCATTTAACTGCAAATCGGGATAATATCTAGCTGTGGTTTTGAAGTTGCAGAGGTTAATCAGTATTCGAGACATGTCTCATAAACCTCGTGTGAAGTCCATGTTATAGCAAGTGGGATTGCAGGGGTAAGGCAATCAATCTCCTTCGATGGTTTACGGCCGAAGTACCAATCACCCACAGACTCTGCAATGGTCTGTTTCAAAAACAACTGAGATGGTTAATGATTATTAAATATCAACTCTTTTAATTTCGGATAATCATGACGGGTCCTGAAATCTATCATTTGATATCCATATTCTATAATAGAGAAACATGTTGAATATTAAAAGCATCGCTAACCTTATCGTTGATTCTTGGAGAATTGGGTGAATGCCATGTCTCAGCCATCCATGTTTGGCAATGAACAAAGCAAGAATTTATAAACATACCCCCTTCCTTGTCTTTCTCAAGCTTACTTAGTGCCTTAAGCAGGGAACTACGGAAACCTACGCCAGAGGCGAAAAAAAGAAATCAGGCCAAGCCACAACAAAGAGGTCTTCAATGCTTGTAGATTATAATTGCACGAAAAATCTCTGATTTCGATGTTCTAAAGTTTGATTGGATTGTTGAGCAAAGTAAATTGGGTACGTATCACACATCCAACTACCTTGTAATGTTCCGATCTGGGTAGAATCGCACTCCTTAATGGTCAATCTGCATCTTCTCCAGTAGCCATGAGGATCTGATCCAGCAGGGGCTAAGATGTGTTGTATCTAATGATTATCCAGTCAGTGTTAGAGCCTATAAATATTAGGAAATAGGATCATGTCATTAGCAAATAGTACTGTTTGAACGAATTACCTGCCAAAAATCATAGGCGGGGTTGACGATGAACAACGGGGTCCTAACGTTTTCGATAATCTCTTGAGGAAAGATGCACTGGAAGAGCAATCAATAACAGATGACAGCAGGTAAATGTTGTGATTCAAACTTGTTGAACGTCAACAGCAAAGGAGAAAAATGATCAAATATAAATATAAGAGTGATACGGATGCCAAAGGGAAACTAGAAGCAAATAAAAGAAAAAAGAAAAAAAAACCTGCCTTGGATGGCTCCATTCTACTGACGCATTTCTTGTGCAAACTTTTTGCTACACCCTGACATGTATGAAGACTAGAGATCAACTTCAAAAATGATTGAATAATTGAAGAAGCAAGGGGAAAAGAAAAAGGAAACACTGGACCCAAGGGGATGTACCCGGATCACCTTAAATTTTTATGGCAATTATCAAAATGACTAAAACCAAATGATATATCATTTTTTGAGGATGAATGATACATGGCAGGATATATATGTCATATGGAGATTGAATCTCAACCTGCAGTTGGACAACATCATGGTAGAAAGCACTCATGGTGCGATTTCCAAGAACATCTAGCCTGCAATGCAGAAAATAGAAAATAAACTAACATATGCAGTCAAGACTCAAGACTAACTTTAATTAGGATGCATTAACTTGAATTATACAGATAAATGAAGTAATACTCCGTAAATCTGGATATGCATATGCAAGTATCTCGCACCTACTATATTTTGGCGACATTAAAATGACTCGTTCTAACATGCATTCTTGCATACATAGCTACATAGATATATTATTAAATACTTAGAAATATACATTCCTGTAGTTTTAAATTCATATATTATAGACCACTATGATCAGTTTAAGCATTAGCTTATAATTTAAAAGGCATTGATCTTGTGCCAAAAAACAAAACATACTCATCAAGGAAAAAACCTGCATCAGCAAGACACTTGACAATGGCATCCTTCGGGAGATGATCTCGGAAGTCATCGCAATGTATAAGAGTCGCCAAACCTCCAGCAGAGCATCCTGAAAGAAGTGCCTGCAAAGTCAAAAAAATCCATCACCTCACAACGAACAACTGAATAACTAACAATTGTGAAAAAGTGAAAACAATTTAGCAATTAAAAATCCCAACTTTAAATAATAAAACTCTAAAAAAATCGATGTCGGTACCTGTTTCGCCTTAGACAAGCCAAGTGATAAGAGTTCACTCATAATTGCTTCCCAAATGAGTTGGCCTCTGAAGAAAAGCTTTGTTCCATTCTGCAAACGGTAATAAGAACAAAATGCGAAAAATAAAAATCCATTTTTTAAAAGCAAATAATCATTCCGCTTTTAAATAGACTAGCAAAATTTACCTTGAACTCACTTTCAGGGTGGCCAGCCAAGGATGCACCATCACAATAACGTATCTTAACTATGTTCCAATTATAAAAATCTACAAAAAGAAAATTACCCATTTTGAAAGCAGATTCTTGGAACAGCATAATTTATCAAATAAAATAAAGTAAATGACGCAAAAATATACCAGGATTTTGTGAAGGTTGACGGCTTAAAATCCCAGCAAATGGGACCAGACGGTCCATGTAATTTGAGGAACCTAAAGCTGTTCTTTTTCGAATATTGCATGTTTCTATTGAATTACACCAACCTCCACCCTATAAACCAAACAAGAAAAACTTTAAAACAAAGCTTTTAATATTCCGAGTGATTTCAAAATAGTATCTATTCATAATCTTTCTGAGCTATTAAAAACACACACCTGCATATATAGCTACTCGAAGCTAGAACTTTGAAACAAAGCTAAATTCTAGTAAACAGGGCATAAAGTGAAAGTAATGAATTTTACCTCAATGTGGAGAAGCCAATTGTTAGAGCCAGATCCAAAGCCCTTCTGGAAATGGTATCCAGGTAAACTTCCATCTAAGCATACTGAAAAAGAAAATTAAGCGAATGTGAGTACAAAATATTAATTTTGAGTAGAAAATCGAAAACAAAAAAAAATTCGAATTTTCTGGAGAAGAAGAGTGGGTACATGCGCCTGTAGCTTTGGCCCTATGCAGCAAAGTCAGGGGAACGAGATCGTGAGCGGAGAGATCGGGAGTGGTAGGGTTTCGAGAATCGAAGAGAAGAGTGAGAGCAAAGAGGATGATGGTGAATCCTACGGCTGCGATGGCCCAATCCTTCTTTGCCCACTTTCCCCATCGAGTCAACGCACGAAGCCTGGGATTTGCCATTGAAAGGGAGCTCTTCTCTGCAAAGCTGATTTTCGTTTTAAAAAAATCGTTGGTGTTGTAGTGGAGAGTTTCTTCAGTATTTAGTTGGTTGGGACTAACAATATTCTAATAAGGGTAAACTACATAGTTGGTTACTTTTGTTTCATTTTTTAAACTTATGGTCACTCAATCTAGAAACGTCAATACGTGGTCACTTGTTTTTTTCATTTTAATTAAGACGTGATCACTGAGACGTTAGTTTTCGTGAGTTGGATGACATGACACGTTAGTAAAAAGGTTTAATTTTTATTTTTACCCTTAAACTTGAGATAAATTACTAATTATGGGTATTTTTGTAAACCCAAAATAGTCTAGGGATAAAATGTCAATTTACCCATTCTTCCATATGTTTATCAACAAACCCGAAACCTCCACGCTTCACCCCCTTCCACGACAGCGACCGGATGTTCACATCGGTTGGGTTTGGTTCGCAAGAAGTCGGGGAGCACATGGATAGTGACGGTGAGGCCTAAAGACGACTTGATCTGCCAGAATTCATTGATAACAATGCGGTTGTTTTGAGTTCTCTGACATAACTTCGACGAGCTTTCCACGTCGAACGGTAGTGGCTCATAGGACACTCTCAACAGGGTTTTGATCACTTTGATTAGGCGCTCACGATGGCATCGGTAGTGATGGTCATCGACGACCGAACGATGGCGAGGGATCGATGGAATGGTGATAGGATTAAAATGAAATTTGGGGGTTTGGTTTTAGGTATTTCCCATTTGAATAGAACATATGGGGGAAAAATGGTTAATTGACTTTTTATCCATGAATTATTTTGGATTTACAAAAAGACCATAATTAGTAATTTATCTCAAGTTTAAGGGTTCAAATAAAAATTAAACTTTTTTACTTACGTGCCGTGTCATCCAACTCACAACAGCTAATGTCTACTGACCACGTCTTAATCAAAATGAAAACAAAAGTGACTACGTATTGACATTTATGGTCGAGTGACCATAGGTTTAAAAAATGGAACAAAAATGACCAACTGTGTAATTTACCCTAAAGTTTAAAAGATTACAAAATGGTCATTAAGATCGGGTAGTTTTGCTGTACAATAACCTTATATAAGGCTAAAGAAAGGATCTACCAGAAATGTTAATATTTTTTTGATAGAAAAATAACATTTTCGGTAGCGTCCGATATTAATATTTCTGTAGAAAAAATAACAACGCTTTACTGAAAATGTTACAAAAATTTTAACATTTCCAATAACATATTTTTTTAACCTTATATTAGGTTTCCTTTGCTTAGACATCCGTTTAAGATCTTCAAGTTGTAAGAAAACGATCTTTAAACTGTTAAGCGTTGTAATCCAATATCCATGTCACGGAAAGTTAATCTAGCATGTTTAGGGTGTTGAGGTGTCACTGTTATGTACCAATTTTTGGGCACTTGTGGGGGTGCTAATCCTTCCCCACGCGTAACTGACTCCCGAACCTAATTTTTGGATTTTCGCATACCCCAAAACTTGGTATTTTATTAAAATAAAATGTTTTATTAAAATCACCTGGTTTTTACGGTGTTCCAATCTCACCTGAAATGATTGGTGGCGACTCCTCACATTTTAAAAACCTTTTCAAAGAGAAAACCCCCGAGTCGGTATCGGTCTTTCCCCGCTCGGCGAAAAACGGTGTCGACAACCTGGCGACTCCGTTGGGGACTTTGTTTTTAAACAAATTGAGAGTCGAGCCACGAGTTGGTTACCCTATATTTATTATTTGGAAATTATGAGTTGATCTTGTTTAATTTGTGGTTCATTATGTTCTTTAAAAAAAGGATTTTCTCTCCGTTAATGCTTACACTTCTGTGAAATATTTAGGATTGTTGCATATCATAGCTCTAAACCCGAGCTCAATCTCGGTTTACCTAAGTAAGGAGAAACGTCACACCACACGAGGAGCATTGGGCTTCCTTGTGTGGGTCTGACAAAGTATCTCTGGAAAACACCCTAAGTTGCCTATCCGGATATCAGTTCTGAGGTACGCTTTTAGTGGTGTGATCCCTTGAGCTGAACCCAATTCGCAAGTCTGTAATGGGCCAGAATCGGGGGCAACCTTAGCAGGTTGTAAAAATGGCTTTGGAACCTTTGTTAGAACCCAGCCTCACATAGACAATCTAGTAAGCCTACCCCACTAGAGCCATACGGATAACCTAGGAGAACTAGAACGCATGTGGTTAGGACTATTAATTTCCTGTATGCTTTATTTTTTATCTCAACCTTAAGTCATATGTAAGATTATAATTTTTTGACTAATTATTTGAGCTAACTTGCTCTTATTAACATTGTTTTTGCATATATCATTGTCATATCACATATTTCATAAACGGTATTGATTCCCAGATTACCTAGTTGTCATAAAGAGAGCTTAAGGCATCAATGTCTTCCGATGGGATTGAGAATGCAATCGTGTTCAGATATGGTCTGAGTATGGGCAGACGTGATTCGGGGATAGTCTTGTTACTACTGAAGAATCAGTTTTGCCAGAGAATGTGATTATCCGAGTCAGACAAACACATTGGGTTGATTTGTCAATAATTTGGGCCACGTGGGATGATAATGAGAAGATACTGTTTAGAGATATACGGTGACATCGTAGAGCTTCTCAGAGTACCAATAGACGCAGTGGTTGTTCGAGCCCTGGCCGAATGTTGGAATCCAGCTTACAGGTGTTTCACTTTTGGTAAAGTAGATATAACCCCTACCTTGGAGGAGTATACGACTTTACTGAATATCCCAAATATTAAAAGACATTCCATTTACACCAAGGCAATCCAACCTAAGGGATTCATTACCAAAATGGTCATGCTGACCGGGAAGACCAAGTAGTGGGTCGAAGAGTATATTCGTGATGAGGGAATCTCCTAGCCTCAACTAAAGAGTTTGATTTATGAGCAGACCCATCAAAAGGAAGAAGAGATTACTTTGCACTTGCATTATATGGCTTGGTCATTTTCCCCAGGAATGAGGATCACTTCAACATCGCTTTAATTGATTTTGTCGAAGCTATTTCCAGAAAGAATCCCGCACCAGCCATCCTTGCAGAAACATTATTGTCACTGAACCATTATAGACAATTGGGGGGAGGTTAGTTCACCGGATGTGCCTCATTGTTACTAGTTTGGTGATGGAGCCACTCTTGGATAGTCGAGAAAGGCTGGGCTCGGAGACATCAATCGAATTTTTCGCCTCTAGTGGATTTCCTCAGCAAGTGTCAAATACCATAGCATCGCAAGAGGAATGAATGGGTTGAAGCTCTCCGTAACATAAAAGATACCGAGGTAGTATGGAAGGCTTACTGGTTACCCAAAGAAGACATACTTTTCAGATGCGGTAACGATAGTTTTGTAATGCTACACGGGTTATGGGGAGCGATCGGGTATACTCCGCTAATTGCACTCAAACAGTTCAGTACTCTGCAGTTCGTACCCGCTACCCACGGCCTGAAGGAGGCGCAGTTTTCTTTCTCCACTCTAGGTTACCGAGAGAGGATTTCAAAGATCTATACAGCTTGGTAGAAACCTCACTGTATGAGCTTCAAGATGATAGAGCCCGTATTCACGTCGGCCTGCGAGGTTTGGAGGTTGCAGAGGATTAATAACAACACACGAAGCCAAATTTATAAGATGAGTTGACTATGGAGGAGCGATTGAAGAGGCTCCCAACAGAGGTTGAATTGTTAAGAGATGAAATGCGACTGAAAAATTTGGAGAGAGAAAAAGAACACAGAAAGTTCTCAGATGAGAAGACAATGTGGGAGCTCGAGCTGATTAAGATGGATGAAGTGATAAAATAATTGTCCAAAGATAAAGAGAAGGTTCAGGAAAGTTTTGATGCGCTAAATCAAGATTTTAGGGCCTTAGAGAAGAATATGAGAGCCCATGGTCTATATCATACTGCCAAGACCCTAAAAATAAAACTCGATAGAAAGAACGCAAGAAGATATCAAGAAGAAGAAAAAATAAGCCATGTAGCACGCCCAAAGACTAAGAGAGAAAAGATATGAGACTAACCAAGAATTGACACAGAGGCGGGAACAGATTGAACGGCTCGAAGCACAGTTGCTTAGTATGGATGAGATTTTTCAAAACTCGTACAACGATGGGTCCCATCTTCAAAAGAAAACGAGATGTTAAAGAAAAAGATAGCAGAGTTAGAAGAAGCAAGGCAGGAGAATGAGGCCTTAAAAGCCAAGATTACTGAGCTAGAAATTACTGTACAGAAAGGTCATCAGCGAATCCAATAGTTAGAAGAAAGCCGACCATTGACTAATACAGAGCTGGGAATCGCGCTACGACAGGCTCGGGGCACCATTCAGAGTCAACATGAATCAATGGGGAGAGCCATGAGTCAGGCCCACAGTGTTGCTCCGAAGTATTCGAATTATCTGAAGAAGCGACAGCCTTGAGAGTTTTTATGGTCCCGGAGTCAGTAGAAGAACGACGCATCATCGGATTGATGATAGAGCTCGAAAGATTAGGGGATACAACAAGATTCTATGTTTAGTTTCCATGATTGATGTACTCTCTTTGCCTAAGTGCTTAGACGTTGTGTGTTGTTGAGTACTTTTTTTTGTATAAATTAAGTTATTTCGGAATCAATATCGGGTTGCATTTGCATTTTCACATTTTTTCTTATATTTAAAAGACTAAATGATTATATTATAACATTTCATTAATTCATTAAAATTCACCAAATAATAAAATATAATTTCCATCCAATTGTAGTTATCCTGGAACTCGCCTCACACCCGTACGGTACTTGCAGAACGACTAAGAAAATGGAGGCAAGAATGCAGCAACTCGAACAAGACCAAAAACAGGCTCAAGAAGAAATGAGAGAGAGACTAAGTAAGATAGAAGCAGAGTAGAAAACTCGCAAGTCGGTATCTTGCAAAAGATCGAAGAAATGTTTAAGGAATACGCTACGAGTGGAAAGGCTAAGGTTGACCAACCAACGTTATCCTAGCAAGATCCCTTGCATCCTCCACGGTTTGAACCAGAAGCGTCGCATCCTGCTGGGTTTACATCTAAT